AGTTAGATGGATCGTGATTAGTTAATATTTAATATTTTAAAGAGATAATTATCCAACTTATAACCAAAAAATAAATATAGTTTATATCTGGTTCCAAGAAGCTTGGACTCCTCACCGGACTGCTTTTCCGGAGGGTTGTCTCCGCTGTATACATGGAATCATTGATCGAGAGTAGTGATTTCATAAACTTCAAACACACGATTTGCACAAAAGATGGTAACTTGGTTACGGTGTGATGCCATTTCAGCACCCATGGTGCTATCAGGCAACAACAAAAAAAAATTCCGGTTATTGAAAAGAGGTCTCTGTTTTTTTTTCTAACCGTGATGTTATCAGGGCTGCCGGCCTTTCCGGTTTCAAATGGTTACAGCCTTCATATTTGATCCCCTTGTTCTAGCAAATACAAAGCGAGATTAGTCTTCCGAGAATCAAAAAACCGAGCAGGAAGGAAACCAACTCCGCAAAACCCATCGTTCCAAAAAATGCAACCACATTGATTGCAACGGGCAGTAACTAATTCTCTTTGTACAAACAGTTTGGGTTGCTGCTTGATGAAATTACTTCAGCAACGCTTCTGGTAGAGGATCATTCACTTTTGCCGAGTTTTTTGCAAGATATTTTTAAGAAGCAGGCGTACCCCGACTGTGTAGTCGGCTAACATGCTGATATTTTAGAAGACCTAAGAAACCAAATCTAAAATAGTTCGTTGACCAACGGACGCGTAGAGCTCACTGCTAACTCAGCGACTAATAATCGAAGAGCCACTTCCATGGTCCCACTTCGATCCTATCCCTTGAAAACTCCAATAATCCCAACCACTTGCAAGTTTCAAATTTTTCCATTTGCATCAAATAAAGAGCTTATGTTTAGGGTTTCAAAAACAATAATTACTAAAATTGGGGTGAGAGAGAAATCTTAAATTTGAAGAGGTTTATCAGATGCTTGCTTATTCTTGTTGCGTCGTCGGAATTGCCAATTGAATCAAATAACCTTTCATGCAGAGCCTGGTAACGCAAAAAAAAATTGACCACTAGGAGTGGTACAGCAGCATGGAGGAACATAGCCTCAAGCTCTGCGTAGACGTAAGCCGATGTTGATGGAAACGTATAAACCTGTGTTACTTTCGCAAGGAGTCAAGCTCAACGATCAAAGGTATTTTTGAGTAAATTGCTGCGAAATTTTTACCCGCAATTCAGTACTTACTCGGTTTATTGTGTGCAGATAGAATGTGGGCGAGGGGGAACAAATACATTTCTCGGATGAAGTGACGTTACGAAGCTAAAGTTTCGTAAAACATACCGAGGCTCTCTTTTTTGTTTCACCGAAACTCATTTTTAAACTGCTACTATCTTCCAGTCAATTTTCAAGCGTCTAAAACTGACTGTGCTATGCAGGGTAATGAACTGCTATTTTGGTCCATAAAACTACTACGCATTCTTGTTTGCCATCATGCTGTATTAATGATTCAAGAGGTGATTCATTGGCTGGAGAACGAGCATTAGCTAATTTTTGTTGTGCCGTAGCATCCTAACTCATAGTTTTCTTATTGAGTAACACAGTCAAGGTTCTATACGGCATACAACTAAAATAAGCTGATATTAACCCTGAAGATGATAAAAGTGGTCCACTCAAAACTCAAAGCAATTAGCCCATCCCACAAGTAGAACGTAGCAGTGGAATCTATCATAACCATGAAAAAATAAAACTGGGCGTATGTGATGATAAAAGTTTGATCAATACTACTTCGATATCGAAATAAGTATTTGGAACTGAAATTGTTTGTTCCTAAGTATGAATAAACTTTTCGGATAGGCCGGACAATCAAAATTTCACTCAACATTAATTTCAATTTTCCCGTAAGCGGGAACATTGAGTGTAATTCATCAATAGCACCAGTTAGTAATGCGTAAACAAACTGAGTTTGAAAAACATCAGTGTAATTGAAACCTTTAAAGGTTAAAATTAATTTTCGCACAGATTCAGATTGCAGGCATGGAGCGATTGCTCGAGAACCACAAATTGCATGTTTTAGTTTTAGATGAGAAAATTAATTTGATAATTTTGAATAGACCTTAAAAGTTTCTTACGAATGCGGAACACCACAAACGTGATATCAGTGATAAATTTTTTTCCGCTGGAAGATTTATTCTTTTCCTGAAAGGAAAAAGTAAGATCTGAATTATGCAAGAGAACTTTAATATACTAGAAAAACAGAGTTTTTCTGAGCAGAAAACTGTGGTTTTGTGACGGGTTCCTTTTCTCGAAAAGCTTGCAACCACTCATTGGATTTGAGTCAGCGCACTACCGGCGGTGGATATTTGGCACTGTTTGGCCGAAGGCTCTCGGTTCTTAATATAAAAAGGAGAAATTCCTTAAGTTCATGGATTTTGGCCTTCAGTTTAAAATGATTTCTCGTAATTGAGGGATTCCAGCAAAACCAGTGAGCATGACCTTATACAACAATCAGAATTCCTTCAGGCAGGATACAAACCACTTAATTATGTAAAACTTGATTCAAGGTGGTCTTTTTTGAGATGGTATTTGTATGATAACGATGAAATGCAAGGAGAAAACTTGCTATCACAACAGCAAAGTTAATAAAATTCTCTCTGAAATGACCATTTTAACTAGTGCAAAACGCTTTAGCTTTTTGTTTTAGATGCTTACAATGTTTTGACGTGAGACAGGTTTTTGCTCAAAAACTCCTATGGCTTATTGTACATCAGACTGAAATATGTGAAGTCAGATGCTGGCAACTTATCTTTCCCAATTACCGCTGTTTTTAGGTATGTCAGCTATCCTTCGCTCAAAAGAGCGGATTGCCAATCAACCGCGCTGCGAGAAGCTGGCCTATGTACTCATGCGCCTATGTACGTATGGTCCGGTCGGATTCAAAAAGTACGATGTATCTCAGTTTGATTTGTATTCAATCGAAAATCGCAATGAGTATCAGTGTCGGAGTAAGTAGTGAAAAATTGAAAATACAAGAGTCCCGTACATCACTGTTGACGACAAAACGTCGTAAAACCCAAAGAAACGACACTCGTTGGGCATTATAAAGAACTGTAATCAGTTTTGAAGTGAAGGCAGTCGGTTTGGATACGGGTTAAACTGGTTTTAGGTTTGGCATATTTTCAACTCGAATTTTGTGCTTTTTACTTATCTGAGCGAACATGTCAATACAACTCAAGTCTTTATCCGTTTTGGCTTCAACTATTTGAGCTTTAACCAAATTCTTATGTTCCTTGCTGACCAAAACTTTTTTCAATCTAACCTATTTTATAGCTGCGAACTTTTTATTTACAGTGAGCACATGAGTTTTTCATTTTTTTTCTCGACTTTTTCTGAACCCAATTTAGCTATCGTCAACTCCAAATTGCTTTACTCCCACTTTACTTGATACGCTAGAGAGATGAGAACTTTGAGGTGTTCCGATAGCTTTCCGTCAACGCTTTCCCGAAAAGCGATGAAACGGATGTTGCCTTTTTCCTCAGATCTTATATTTTTCCTACCCGTCTGCATTACCTCAACACGCGTTTTCGATACCAGGTCAAACCATTGTTTTAGTTTTTTTCACGAGATTATCTTATTTTACAGCTGTTTTGGCAATTTGAACAAGATCTTGTAGTTTTCAGAAAAACCACTACAGATTTTCTCATGTTTTTATATATTATCTTCGTTTTTGTTCTTTGAAAAAGTCCATGAACAAATCCATGAATAAATTTATGATCATCGAGTAACTCAATGACTCAATTACCTCAAGACCCGAAAAGCTTCCGTACCTGCCCTCATTTATTTTTCATAACGTCGAAGTTTTCGAAAATGCTTTTCAAAACAACAGAAGGATGTATCAACCTGTAATCACATCTGTGTTGTAACAACTGTGTCGCATTGTAAGCAATGCAACACAGATTCAAGAATTGAGACGACCTCATTAAGATTATGCTTCGCAGCTAAAACTCTAAAATTTTCAACTTGATGTTCTTGTAGGTTGTGGTGAGATTAATTATGTTGACGATCGCGTGTTGGTTGTTCTTCATTTTTTTGACCTCTTAGTCTTGACAACGATAGTTTTAAGGTAGTGGTCAAACGTGAGAATGATTCAAAAATTATTTGCTTTCCATCTTATTGGGCTGGTAAAACAACAAATAGTGTTTGCGCAACTGCTCCTTCTTAATCTTATATTTCGATATCAGATGTTTGACTGTGCTGATAGCAAGACTAGCTGAACTGTTTTGTGCATCAAAATATATCTTCGATTTCCATCCGTTGACTTTACGCGGTAGTTTAAGCCCTGTAGCCTTTCAAATTGACTACAAGAAGATATTTAGACAAAGAGTTATTACTCCCTTTCATACTAATTGACTTAATTATAACATCGTGCCAAATCACGAAAATTGAGTTATGAACTAAAAAAATGATCTATAGTAAGGTTGCACGGTTTTAATGGGGTTAGCAGTTTTGGGGTTTAAACTTAGACCGGGAATGGCTAAGTAAGTATCCACAATCTCAATAAATCCATTAAGGTATTCAACGGAAAAAGAAGTTATCAACAAAAACTATAAGGTTTTTAACCAAAAAAAAACGTTTGCTGCAGGTTTATAATTTTCAATTTTTTTTTGGGTAGAGTTGGTAGACGTACGTTGTATAAATTAAGTCACAATATCTTCAACCTCTCGGAAAATCCTGAGGTCGCCAGAATTTATAATCATTTATACCTATTGGGCTTACGATTTGATTGGAATTAGATTGAATTTTTCTAAAGTTTTTCGGTCGAAGTCGTTAGGGTTTTCTGAAACCCATATTTCGACCAATTTTGGGTTTTTACTATTTTTGATAGCAGGGTGTTTACCGGGTTTGTGCAAATTGCTTTCAAAATTTTGGCCCAAAACTCACGGAAAAACTGTAACAGAAAAAAAACTAATTTTTTATCAGGGTTCAAACTTTTGCTCCTTAAAGTTTCAGTGAAAAAATGAGAGACTTGCTTTTTTAGAGTTTACATCAGATGAACTGATTTTTTTTTCAAAACCTCTCTGATATGACCAAAAAACAGTCTTGTATTCAAGGACATTTTATCAAAACAACACTCGAAAAAGGGGAGTTGGGTAGTCTTACAGCGTTTTAGAGTTTTTTGGCTCTTCTCTGCGTCTGTCCCCACCCTCTGCATGCAAAAACACCCGCAGCGGTAGCCATGTGATTGCCCAAACCCCTACTGAATTAGCAGTTTCTGTGCTGGAGTCCCATCTGAGGTTGCAGTCTGTGTACAGACCTTTCCCTCTGAGGCAGTAGAAACTTCTCGCAAACTCCCACTAAGAAAAAGCCTTCTGTATGCAGAGTAAATTCCCATTTGAGATTGGCGTATAGGGTCAGATATAATCTGACGTGTTGATAAAACTCTCGACAATATTTTTGTTTTGATCAGGGGCGGATCTAGGATTTTCTCGAGGGGGGGGGGCGGATTTTCAAAAAATTTTCGAAAATTTTGACGACCTTTTTTTTTTTTAGGTCGATCAGATTGATTTTCCGAGCTCTCCCAAAATAATAAAAAGACCCTGTCTTGGCCAAATTTTCTGCGCCGCAGGCAATTTTTTGAAAAACCAGGTCAAAAAAGCCGTTTTTGGGCACTTTTTGGAAAATTTTGACAAAAAAATTGCGTTTTTT